CACTTGTATGTACATATCCCAGGGAATAGTTGTCCTTTTGTAGCAACACAGCACTGATGATTCACTGCAATCACAGATGCTTTTCTGAGGACTTGTCACAGAGTCAACTCTTGTTCTCCCAGCAAGCATGAAGATGGCTATTTTTGTTAAAAGAGCCGTTTTGAGAGGCCTTATTAAATTGGTTGTTTTTTGGTCAGGTTACTTTTGCTGGTTGAGTTTGACCTGAATTCTAGCCATGCCCTCCACCGTGCTTGAAGCTCCTTCTCATGCAGCTGTTGCATTCAGATTCCAGGTTGGCTCAACGTGGGACAGACCTGGTGCCCATGCTGGAGGACATAGGGGATGGGATTTAGGATTTGTTGTTCCTGCTTCTGAGCCGTACAGTCAGCCTCCAGACATCAGCTCAGTGCTACCGACTGCGGTTGGACTAGATGATCTTAGAGATCTCTTCCAGACTTAATGATTCTATGGCTCCAAGCCCTGCTGTACCCTCTAGACAAAGCATTGGCTGTCTTCTTCTGTCCCCATTACTGGGGCACCTGGAGACCACGTGGGGGTGGGGTGGCATGGGCTCATCCCTGTGCTGCCGCTGCTGTTTCCTCTGTGCCAAAAGCAGTCTCTGACCTTCGAGGCTGATATACATCAGGAATTCTCAGGTTTTAAAAGACACTTTCTTTGTTCCAATATGACTGCACTTCTCTTCTGCAGAAAGAAATCTGAGATAACTTGAGTATAAAGGATGATATATAAAGCCAAGTTTTATTCTATCCAGTCTCAGTAATTTTCCTCATAAATACTTCTCGGTATTATGAAATATTGCTTGCAGCAGAAATTGGGTATGTTGGGGCTGTACTATTTTATCTTGCTAAACACCGAGGCAGTCTGTGTTCAGAGCCTGCTGCATTTATCCTATTAATGTATTAGCAGGACTCCTTTGCTTTGTGTTATTTAATAGAAGGTTTTTATTTGATATGATCAAATCCATCTGTGTCTAAATGGAACTCCCTTATAGATATACTGTGCAACAGTGCATCAGGGTGTAAAAACGCTTTTGTTTTTGAAGTTACACCAAAAGCACGCCAGTAATATCTGCAGGATTTGCATGAGCCTGCTTTGTCTGTGCCCCGCAGTTCTGATGGCGTGATACCCAAAGACATTTGCTTGAAGAAACAGCTGTGCAGCCAGCAGTATGGGGGGATCTGTTATTTGCACTGATTACCAACAACGCAGGCTCAGGCTCACCAGCAACAGCCCCTCCCAGCCACCACTGCCCCATTTTTCCCGAGTTATCAGAATCCACTGTAAACATGTAGAGGTTGAATAACCAAAGGGACGTGTGCCTGGCCCACTGGGAGGCCCACACTGACAGCCAGAGCACATCCCCAGCACTGCAGGGCCACGCACCGTGCCCTCAGCTGTCACACGGCTGGGGTCTGCCTGCCATCCCAGCAGGATGCTGACACAGCCCTGCTTACAGCCTTGGCAGGGCACAGACATGCAATGGGAAAATAGTACTGCAGTCACGCAAAAGCTTTGACTTAACCCAAAAACCTGTTAGAAATTTTTTTTTTGGCTGATTTTGGGAATGCTTTTGTTCCCAAAATTTGAGGGTTATTTGTGAGCAGGGATCAGGACAATCAGAAGCCTTCTGCAGGCACTTTGCAGCCTCCCCCAGCCATGGTTCTGCATTCTGGGCCTTTAACAGCATGCAGATGCTGAGTGCTCACCTACCACTTCTGGTCCTGACAACTGCAAAGCATGTCAGGCACGCTCCATTGCATGAACACAGAGACAAAAAGCCATCTGACTTACAATCTACATTGCTGTGTATATTACTGAGCTGTGTTTGGATCAGTACATTGCTGCTGACAACATTTAGTGTGAATTACCTGCAGGTTGTGGGTAGGAGGATGGGGAATGGCTCTGCACACACTGGGGGTGCCTGGATGGTGGAGCAGTTCTGGTGCAGGAGGCTGAGCTGAGTGCCCTGTGGCTTTACCCCTATAGACACATGTATCTGAACACAGTCTGAACCAGTATCACCTGCCAGTTCAAAATCAGATACAGAGCATGGCACAAATGGGGTCTTTATGGCTGAGCAAGGAATAATTTGTTTTTATTTTCAGTGCATAAACTAAGATACGTGCAAACACACACAGGGCAGTGTTCCTCTTCAGCGTCGCTGATGGCATATTTATCTCTAGTATTCACCATGCTAAGCTTTAATATTTTAATGCAACAAATAATTGCTTTCTACTTCCACAGAGCAATTATCTTAGATCCTCTGTGTTCCTATTTACAACCTCGAAAGATTCAGATTCATCAATTTAACTGAACGAGTGAATTTTGCACCGTGGTTGGTCTCCTGCCTTGACAGTGACTGCACAGGGCCGTGCAGTGGGTGTCCTGCTGGGTCTGTGGCTGCATGTGGGCCAGGGCCAGGCTGTCCCGTCCCAGGGCTGGGCTCCTCATGGCCACAGGGTCTCCCCGCCCTCAATCCATTGCGTTCTCATGCAACCTTTGTAGATGGTTCCTCCACAGCCATCCATCCTCTGCTGCCTTCAGGTATCAGTGTGCTTTGAGATGCTATCGTGGGACTCTGGTGAGCCCTCAAGGGCTGTTCTCTCTCCAGCTTCTCCTGTAACAGACAGTTCTGACAGCCCAGTCTTCATCTTCTTACTGCTTTGACCTTGAGTTAGTTTATCCCTTCCTTCTCTGCGTGTTTTAAATCTTGCATACAAACTATTAAGGCTTTCCTACAATAAATCATTAACCTGAATATAGTTAACTGAAATGCTTATTAACGTCTCTGCATAATCCATTTAACAGAATTACTCTTGCTTATTCAGGCAACCTAAAGAGGTCTGTGCTTTTGTCTACCAGCTTCAGCATTAGAGCTTGTAATTATTTCTGGTTAATGCAGCCCTGGGTGTTAGCAAATGTTGGTTTATGCATTTCAGCATAGTACTTTTCCTAATCTCTTGTATTAATTAGAGATAGTGATATAGCATTACTTTGCTCCTTTATATTCACTACCAGGAGAGATGTCTGAATATAATCCCATCTGCGCCGAGAGCGCGCTCACTTTCACAACTGCTAAGTGTGACAAACCTTAGGATTACGTGGAAGTAATCGCTGCGTTAAGGAAAGTGCTGCACGTGGGCAGAGGTGGTGTGGGGCTGGGGAGGTGGCACAGGGCTCCCTGGGGCACCATCAGTGGGTTGGAGTCCTTCCCTATTCTCACGTCTGGGCCTCCCCCTCCTTCAGGATTCTTTCACATCATGCCCCATCCCTGCAGACTCCCGAGCTCAGGGATGGGGCTCTGGGCACTCGGTGGAGCTGTGGGTGTCCCTGTTCATTGCTGCAAGTGGGACCATGTGGCCTTTAGTGGTCCCCTCCAGCTCAAACGATTCTGTGCTCCTATGACTGGTCAGCCAGCTTTGGGAGCCACAGCTCTTCCTGTTGCTGACACAGTAGATGTATCTTTCCCCATTAATTCACCTAGCACCTTCATGCTGAAACAATGCAGCTATGATTTAATAAGCTTTACAAACACAGTGATGGTTCGTATGCAGCAAATCAGATTTACATAATTTTCCACTGGCTTTTAAAGCCACTGAAATTCAAATTATCTTTACTTGGGGAAACTCTTTTAATATGCTAAAACGAAATACCACCTAGATTATGCTTGGGTTTGCTAGCTTGCCTTTTCCAACGCATTAAATGTTGATTTGTCATGGCGGTTTATCACAGAAAGTTCCTTTTTAATGAGGAGGGAGGGGAGTGCCCTGTAGTTAGTCATGGCTGGAAGCCGTTGAAGGAACAAAAGGGGAAGCTTTAACATCTAGAATGAATTTGGTCGTGTTGTGTTGTTGCTTTGTGTACTGCTGGGATGTGCACCACCTTGGCTCTCTCTTGCTGCAGCTCAGCACCCACAGGCAATTCCCCATCCTTGTCCCAGGCAGGCTGTGGGTCATTTTTAACTCCGTGCAATAAATAAGGCCCAGAACCCTTTCATGGTGTTCTCAGCTCCTCCACCTCGGGATATTTCATGCTTTTGCGATTCTGAGAAAGAGGTGCAGAGCTGATGAATCAACAGATTTTGCAGCTCGCATCTGAGTTTCACCTATACAGCCAACGTCTGCTTGTGCAGGTGGCACTGGGTGTAAGGCTCACACAGCTTTTGTGTTTTGGAATGGGCAGAAGCAGTGCAGTATCAAAAGCACACACTCTTACTAGCATTCAGCGCTGTGGCGGCAGTGGGTGCTGGGGCCTCATGGACCACATTTCTCCCCTCACCTCCACTGCACACCTCCAGTGCTCACCTTGTGTCCAACCCCACCTCACTGATGTCGGTGCTCCCAGCTGGGTGTTGGGTTCCCCATCATCCCCCTGGGATTTTACAGGAGCAAAAGCAATGGTTCCTGCTTAAGCCTCCTCCTGTGGGCCAGCAGCCGGCTGCTCACCGTCATCTCACAGCTCAACACATTTCTTGATTCTGTGTGCATGCATTCGCTGCCATATTTAATTAGGGATTTGAGAGACCCTTCCTATTAAAGCAAGTAAATACAATCTCTTCAAACGGATTGACAATAAATACACATCTCTATGGCTCAGCACAGCATTCAAGCTTTGGCTCCGAAAGTTAAGCAGAAAACATGTTGTTGTCCAACAGAGCTAAATATATTCCCCTCCCGTTGGTATTAGTGGAGATTTTGATGCTCAGTAACTTAAAAACAGATGCATCATTCAGATGTTTAAACACAAAGCACCCATCTGATGTTAAGTGCTGGCCTTTTGGAGTGCTGGATCACGGGCTGTGCTCTGTGTCACGGCCAGCAGCAGCACTGCTGCCGGAGGGCTTGGCGACCTCCGCCTCGTCTCTCCTGTTTTCAGATTAACACTTTTGCTGCTCTGATGTTATCGTAGAAGAATGAATTGTAAGCGTTTAGGACACGAGGGTAGGAGGGGCCCCTAACCCTTTTCTCTTCTCTCCGCAGCTCCCAGTACGGCCCAGTATGGGATCACCGGGGACGCCGAGGTCCTGTTCTCCTGCTGGTACCTTGTGTTGACACTGTCCTCCCTCACCAGCATATTCTACCTGAAGAACATCATTCTGCACTGAGTGTAAAGAACCCTAAAAGGCTTTTAAGGATTCTCTGAAAGTGCTGATGACTGGATCTGATCTGGTAGAGTTTGTTAAAAGCAGCGTGGGATATAATCAGCAGTGCTTGCGTGGGGATGATCACCTTCTGTAGAATTGCTCATTATGTAAATACCTTAATTCTACTCCTTTTTTGATTAGCTGCATTACCTTGTGAAGCAGTACACATTGTCCTTTTTTAAGACGTGAAAGCTCTGAAGTTACTTTTAGAGGGTATTAATTGTGATTTCATGTTTGTAATCTACAAGTTTTCAAAAGCATTCAGTCATGGTCTGCTGAACTGCAGACCGTAGTTTACAAAAAAAAAAAAAAAGGAGAATATTGCAGTAAAATGGGCTTCTTTAAGGCTGCAATACAACATTCAGTTCCCTTCTTAAATAACATTCTCTCCACATGTACACAGGAACTTTTTTTTTTTTTTTAATTAAAAAAAAAATCAAATAATCTTGCCTTCAAAATATTTCTTCGGAATACTACACATATCTAGATTTTCTTCCAGCATGATATTCAGGTTTCAAAAATGAGCCTTGTATTATAACTGCATTGTGCAGTACTGCTTTTTGATTTCTTCCTTTTTCCTGCAAATTCAGCATGGGTGTGCCTTCATAAAACACTATTTTCCTCTTCCTTTCCAACAAATCTGGAATGTGCTTTGGGAAATGCTACAGCATCCTTTTGAGCATAACCGATCTCTGAGGACGAAGGTGCTATTGATAGGCAGAAGGCCTCCTCTCCCACCTCCAGTGGGTAATGGGACTGCTTCAGTACATTTTTAGGCAATCAGACAAGGACAGCACCGGTCCCTTTTCATTTCCCCCCTACTAAGCGGTGGACGATCTGCATTAAGAACGAGTTTCCCCACTACAAAAGAGAATGCAAATTATTTTGAGACGTCTTTTGAATGTAAGAAGGTTTCCCGTAGTCATTCTAAATCAGAATTCCTAACTGGCTGTAAATGTGAGGAGCTGAATCATCCCTTTTGTATTACTGGCAAAAATATGATGTGAATTGGTATTTTTCTTGCACTTAATTTTGTACTGGTTTGGCTAATTTAGCAATGATAAAGGATGCTTTTAAGTATTAGATATCTGAAAATACATAAAGTATCAAGCAGAATTTTATATATATACATATATATATATAAAATACAGATATATATTAAAACGAGGTTGCTCCAATAACCGTACTGAAGTGCATGCTGCCGTCAGTGACGCATCTACAGACAGGACTTCATTCCTGATGTACACACACTGTGCAGATAGCTTACCACAGCAGTTTAGTCATCATACACCATCTCCTAGGACTGCAGTCTATCAAGATAAGACTCGCATTAAACTCAATGAAGGATCAAGTTTCAAAAGAGCATCTAGAATCACTATTTTTTTCTAAGCAGCCCCATACTACATCAGTGCAAAACATTGCTGCAGTTTACAGCTGAGTTTAGAAATGCCATCCTTGTAAGTTGCTGGGATGTGACTGTGTCCAATAGCCTTAGAACACAACGTCTCCTATTGACCCAGTAGATGCTGATGTGCTTAAAGAAACAACAGCTGACGACACGAATAACAAAGCCATTATATAAGTACTGCATTCCCCCTCCTAACGATAAGGTTTGTGGTTAGCAATACCGGATGAGTGCTGTGCATACGCAGCAGTTCCAAATCCCCCCGTGTCTGAAAAGGCAAATTGTGAGTTGGGTTGGACTCGCTGTGCACTGTCCCATGCTGAAGCACAGGCACAGCGTGCGGTGAAGCTGTTGCAGTTACTGATGAGCCCAGATGCACGGAGTGAAATGCATCGAGTCCAAAATACGGCAATAAAGCGTCCTAGGTCTGCCTGTGCTCAGTGACAGGCTGTGCCATTTCTGTCACGCCGTTTGCAGCTGCGTGCTGAGCAGCGGCCACCTTCAGAAGCGTGGCATTTCTGTAAAACCTTGAATAACATGACCAAACTCGTTGCTGAAGGAAACGGTTTAAAGCCAACTCAAATACACAGTAGCCCTTATATTCTTCTCTCCCTTGTATTGCAGCTTTAAAGTGCCATATTTTAGAATCTGTTCATTGGAAAGAGTGGTGCTGCAGAAAACATCACGTCAGGGCAGACTTGTGAAGAAAGCACAGGGGTGTGTGTAACCCAGCCCACCTGCTGCTCCTCGTGTGAATGTGAGACGGGCTGTGCTGGGGCTGGGTCCAATTGGGCATTTCCATTATGATTTTATTTTGGTGATTCCTGACATCTGAAACAACCCCAGCAACAGAATGGAATGAACGGCAGCTTAATTAAACTTGAAGAAAAGGAAGTATTGGCTGATGGCAGATGTAGAACCACTGGGTTATGTGGACAAAGCTTTCAGCCCCATTAATTCTCCGTTAAATTTGTGAGTACGTTGTTGTTGTCACTTCCAAAAAGGAAAAGAGCCCACGAACGTTTCTGGGTGCCAGTAGCAGTTTGTCAGACAGAGGAGGTGTCTGAGCACTGAGCAGAGCTGTGTGCTTGGGGTGCATGGGCTCACAACCCCATGTGCCCCAGTGCCAGCAGAGCTGCCCCTCGGTGTGCAGCCAACATGGGGCACGGGTGCTTGGCTTTGTGCTCCTGCCTTGAAAGATATGATATGTGGAGTTAAACAAGCTCAGGTTCTGGCAGGATCAGAGCCCTAGGAGGCATCGATCCCGTAAAGAACCTCAGCTCTGTGGTTAATCTGTTCTGCATGGTAAAGGTAGTCGTGCAGTTTGGGACTTGCTGGGACGTCCTTCCAGCAGGGCTGTGCAGGCTGCTGCAAGCTGAAGGCTGCAGCATTGGGCAGAGCCCATTCTCTCTTTAGTTTGTGGGGTGTGTTTGCTTTAGGCAGCCTTCGGACGGAACGTTCTGTGCTTCTTGGAATGGTTGACCCGTACTGTTCATCTCTGTTGATCAAATCGCATTCTATTTATTCCCACCTTTAAAAAGTAAAAAATAAACAGCTCAGCTCCAAGCAGAATAACTGAATACGTATATGAAGATCACTGTCTGCATGGGAAACCCCAAGGTCTGTAATGCTGTAAGTTCCCACTCGTGCGATAACTCAGGGCTGCTAATCACCGTTGCATTGGTGACGTGAGCAGCAGCAGCAATGCTCAAAGAGAGGCATTGCTGATCAGGATATTATTCTATTACGGAATTAAACTCGTAACTTCTTGAACGAATGCCATTTCTCAAGGTTTATAACGTGGCAGGAAGTGTATCCATCACTGCTAGACAGCTTTTTTTAAACTTTTCAATATATATATTTTTGTTAGAAACTGTGCTGTTTTTTAAGATACAGGGGTGTTAAACACCGTCGCCAGGAAAAGCTGCTTCTTTGCACATTTTCAAAGTTAGCATTCTAGACCAACTATGGTAAATGTTACACTTACCAAAATCTCTTCTTATTCCACATAAGTGTGTTGTAAAGAATGTGTATACCAAAATACGTATTTACATGGATGAACAATATGCCTTAAAGACTCAGTGTGCGTTTACTTCCGAGACTGGACAAGATTTGTGCCCAGTCTGGAGGTAAATAATCCATACTTCATAGCCTGCCATGGGAGATTTCATTTCTTCAAAAAATAATAATAATAAAAGAAAAAGAAAAAGGAAAATTTGGTTTCTTTTCGAAGAATCTTAACGAATTTCAAAATTCTGGCATGATCTGACATATGTGAGGAAGTGTAGGAAAGGGGTGAAGCTTTATCTCTGGCTCCAGTAGTGAGCAGCCTGTTTGCAGTGTTGTGCCAGCATCAGGCACTGCCATAGAGACCTCGTTCCTGTGCCAAGGCCACAGGCAGCCTGTCCCTGTCCTCATCCCTGGTCCTGTCCCTGTCCTCATCCCTGGTCCTGTCCCCAGCCCAGTCATGGCCAAGCCATCACGTCAGCACTGCCTGTCCTCCTTCTTGCCCCTACTGGGGACCAGCAACCCATAGCCTCTACGTGTGCCACAGCACACAGAATTCTTTGACACCATAAACTGTTTTAAAAATAAAGAAATAAAATAATCGTAAGTGAGAAACATAAATTCTTCATTCAGCCTTAACAGGGAGTAGATCGATAGTTGGAAGGAGGAATTTGCTCTGCCTGTGTTGATGCACTGGACACTTAGGCAGGGTTGGCTCCAATCTTTGGCTGTGCCTGGTGTTTCCTCACTGAGCACAGAGCGAAGGCAGGGAGCTCACTGCGGTCAAGGACACCCGTAGCACATCTGGACACAGCCCAGACTGCTGCAGGAGGGGCTCAGGACAGCAGGGGTGGATTCTCAGGGGCTGCTGCTCTGAAATAGTCCCTCAGCAAAGGCAGGCAGACCTCACCTTCAGCACTGAGCCAACACACATTTGCTCCTACAGCTTTCCGCCTAATTCCTGGAGAGCTCAGAGGTTCCTTTATATTAGAAAATCCTTATGTTAAGAACTGTACACATGGCCATGTTTTCACATCCCATAGCCTTAGTTTCCAGCCCTCTGTCTTTTAAGGAACACAGAGCTTTCCTGTCAGCCGGTGGGGTTGAGTCTGTACTGTAGGACAAGCTGCAGGGCTGATCTGTCAAGCTCTGTGTGCTGGCCTGCCTCCTGCTGAGGTTACGGGGCCATCGGGCTGCCATGCCATCAAGTCATCAGGCTATGGAGCCTTTGGGTAATCAGGCCTCGTGGCATCGGACCTCCATCCATCAGACCTCCATCCCTCGGGCCTCCAGCCATCGGGACATTGAAGGCCATTGGGTGATGAGCCATCGTGGCGCTGGGTCAGCAGCTCACCATCAGGCTGTAAGGCCAGCAGATGAGCAGAGCAGCGGCCAAGGGACGTGCCAACTGCTGGCCCTGCACTGCGGTCCTGGTGGCCGCTTAGTGGTCCTGCAGGGCTCCCTCTAAGCATGCCAGCCCCTGTCCCTGGGCCAGGAGAGGTGCAGCAAGGACCTTCCCTGAGGGCACTCAGCAATCCAGTGCGAGCACCTCTGAACCAAACCGCAAGCAGTAATGCAAAGTAACGCAGCTGAAAGTCATTTTACTTGTGGTCACTTTGATCACCTGGGAGCTCCTCATGTAGCCTCCGTGGCTGCTGTGCCACCAGGTAAACCTGAGCCCCATTAGAAGAGTGAATTACATGGGTGCAGCAAGCCAGAGCCAAGTGAGGAGGGGAGGTGAGCAGGAGCCAGTGTTGTGCTGCAGACACAGGAATTTCCCCTCCTATCTTCCAAATATAAAAGTATTCATTATTCCTCCAAACCTTTTTTTTTTTTTAATGCTGCCAGATACAAAATGCCTGTAATGATGATATATATCATATTTGGTATCTAGAGGGTGAAATTTCTCCTCTCCGAGCACACATCCATCCTTCTCTTTATTATTTTTCAGCCAAAACCAAAACACAATTCGCACATTACATGATGCAATTTATGTGCAATAACACCAGCTTTTCCACTTATCAAAACCATTATAGTCATAAGCACATAACTCCCATTAACCTCAGTGACAGCGACTTAAACGTGAACCACAAGTGAGAATAAACCTTAAAGATGTCATTTAACAGCAGCAGCCTTGTTTTCTGGTATGTGTCTAATGGTGAGATGGAGGCTCATTTCTTCCCCCTGGACCTTTCTGGTATTTCCTCCTGATGCAAAGTGCCCTTTCCCTACCTGCAGTGCGGTCAGGTCAGAGGTGTGGTGGTGGGATGTGCTTTGTGCTCATGGAGCATCACCTCGGGCAGCAGCACCCAGCAGTGCCCAGGGAGCCCACGCCGTGCTAACGAGGCAGCGCTGCGCTGCAATTCCAGCTCTGTAGCAGCTCTGGGAGATAGCACAGTTCATTAGGCTACAACAGCTTAAAGATGTTAAAAAGGCTGGTTTTCCTCTCTCATTTAAGTGCGTTGGGTTGCTCTTCCGTGGAACTTTGAATTCACTGTTTTCTTCATTAACTCTGACCTTTTTACATCTATTACAATAAGAAAAAGATAGAGTTAACTTCAGAGCAAGCTACTGCAAATTCACTTCGCCTGGGCTTCTACAAAGCCTGGTGCAAGAAAGCCACTTTCCTATAGTAAAAGGATTTAAGGTTAGGGATACTAAGCTGCTCTGAGTCGTTCCTCACCCACTCTCAGCTGGACACAGGCCCCTTTCACCCAGTGCCTGTGGGCAGCAGAGCACAGCAGGGCACACATCAGCCTGCCAGGGCAGCTGCCATTTGTGGTGGGATATTTGTGTAAATCTGAAACAGCTGAGGACATGGCCATGGGCTTTGGCCATAGGTATACAACAAGCCCAGCTAAAGAGAGCAATGGTCCCAGTCCTGCCTCCTCTAGATATTCCCAGGCAGTCTTTAGCAACCAAGCATGGCTTAGTTCTATGGGCTGTGACAATAACTGGGAGCTTTGCTTTCCAGCCCAGTCCAGCCCCACTGTGCTGCTGGGACGCTCAGCTCTTCCCAACTGTTGTCTTTCTCTCTTTTTTGGCGCAAACAAGCAATGTGCTTCTCTGCTGCCCATGCATCCCATTTCATAGGGGTTTGTTTCCCTTGTTACCTGAGCAGGGCCATTGCTAGGGGGTGCAGCTTCACCTCCCTGGCTGCGAAATACCTGGTGGAAGCACACGTGAGCTTCAGCACTAAGTGTCTTTTGCCGTGGGAGCCCGGATTGGTGTCTCAGGCTTTGTGTCAGTGCCTTACACAGCTCCTGCAGGGCAGTGCGGGTGCTGCGTCCCACTGCTCCCAGGGAGACGCAGGGAGAGCGCCGCGTTCATCCTTGGCCGTTTCAGTGTGTTCATTTTGCTGACAGACTGTGATCTTGAGATCATTGTTCCTCGCTTCTTCATCACGCAGAAGGTTGTGAGAAGTAATTATTTTAGCATATGGCGAGATGTGCAATTATTACCGCTAGGCTCTTCATCGTAGACAATCTGCTTTAGCACGGCTCTCCCGTGAGGGCCAGCAGCACGGGGCTCGGCCAATTCCAGCACAGAAAGCAGCAGCCACCCCCAGACAAGTTCCTAATTTCCAATTCCTCCCAGAAGCCGTGACACTGCTGTTAATGGCAAGTAATAACAGCCACGGGATGGAGCCTTAAAATGAATCACAATAGTTGGATGTCATGGGCTATTAATTGAATAATTGCTTTAAGTCACTGTATTCATGATTTTGGTTATGAAGGCATTTTATCTGTAGTTAATGCTCACGCTCTTAGCAAACCTGTGACTTGTGGAAAGCACCTTAACGTCCCAGTAAATCATGGTTTCCATGGCAGGATCTCCTGGCGCCTTGCAGGCAGCAAAGTGGGTCCCTGCAGCACGGCAGGGAGGGCAAGAGGCACAAATCGGGCAGTAGGGAACAGCCACCACGGGCTGTGTTTGCATCAAGGCAGGCAGACAACATGCTCAAAGAAAAGCCAGGCTGTGTGCAGCTCCCAGAGCAGCCCTGCCCTTTCTGCTGCCCAGCAGCAGCCCGAGTGCCAACCTGAGCTCACAGGCGGCATCCGCACCCCTGCCCACCTCCACGGTGGATATGTGTGCCCTGGGGATGTGTGTGCCCTGGGGAGGGCTGGTGCTCCCCACGCACAGCTTGTGGCTTTAAGGCAGCAGCAGATATGCAAATGCACTCAGCAGTGCACTCCCGCAGATGTTCTTATTTAAAACAACCTGAACCCACCTAAAGTAATAACCTCAAAACCGCCTCACTGCTCCCATACGTTCTGAGTCACTGCTGCAGAATACCACAGGAATATTATTTTTATAAGAGAGAACCATTTACTAAGTAAGCCACCTGTTAAATAAACACACCCTCTCTCCAAATATTGCTGTTTTGTTTTCCAGACTATGCACAATCTGGATTTATTTTAGATGAGAAAAGATAATCACTAAAGAAAAAAACCTGTATTTTGACTATTTGAAACCATCCATCTTGAGCACACATCTGCTCCTCCACAAGCTGGCAGAGCGTTTACATTAACGAGAATCATCGTTCCTTATTCAGCCAGGAGCTAATGAACTTCTATCATCAGACCATGGCAGTCTTCATTTATTTTAACTTCTCCAAGCCTTCCATTGTTTCCTTCCAGCGTGGCTTGCCAAGAGAGGTGTCCTCTCATGGGGACAGAGGGCAGCTCCGGTCTCACTGTGCCATCACCTTTTCTACGCTTCTAAAGCCACACTGAGCATCACCCCATCTTTGGCAGTGTGGCTGTTGCTGCAGAGTCCCCCTCCCCATGGCCACCTGCACTCAGCACCAGCTGCAGGGAATTCATGTGGGAGAGATTCAGTGTTTTCTGGGTTTGGGGTCCGTCAGCTCCCAGGGCACTGCAATGCTCTTCCCATCCCAGAGGTGGGAGAGCAATGCTTGCAGACTGGCTGCAAGGAGCTCCGTGCATCCCGCGTACATGCAGACATTAGTGGGGATTTCAGACGGCTTTGGCAGATCATGCATGCTCGGGTCTGCAACTGATAGCTTGTTGCAAGTAATTATACAGCACAGACAGAGGCTTGCAGGTGGGCTGTGAGCCATCACCCATGGTGAGCAGTGCCAGAACAACGTCCTGCTGCTGAGAGCACTGCTGCACGCTGCTCTCCAGCAAACTGGTGGGCACAGCCTCACTGCTGCTGGCAGCACAAGCAGGCGGGGATCACCTGGGGGCATAAGTATGGCCAGAAGGATGCACTGCCAGTGTGAGCTCATACCCAACTGCAGGCACAGAGTGGGACAAAACTGCTTCTAAATCAGCCCCTGTTCTCTTCCCTTTGTGATAATGAAGCCTCTGCCATTTTGCATGGCCACGTGTGTTTCCCTGCTCTTTGGCACTCAGCACCTTGGCACAGGCACCTTTAGCTGGTGCTTTTCCCACACATCTGAATAACACAGCAGCAAAACCCTCATTGCACAGCCCGCACCTTCCAGCCAGCAGCCTTCTCCTCAGGGCTGAGCTCAGCAGCCGTGGGCTCACAGAT